CATGTACATACCACCACCAGGGAGCTAGCCCTACACATACGAGAACACATGATTGTTACGTGCACGGCTCCCTACCTACCACCATACCAAGACAGCAAGGTAAAGTCCAAGAGTCTACTAAGTCTTACTACATTGTACATTGTCATTGTAATTTGTAGATGGCACACATGAGCACAAGAGTACTCTTGATAAGCCTGATAAGGCCCACTCTTGGGTGCAGTACTCATACATGTACAATCATCAATGAAAAGAATTGAATCTTCCTATCATCTACACATGCAAACACTGTATGTAGACTAGAGAACATTGGCTAGGGACAGTACATGATGCTGTAGCAAAAATGAGCTCAGTACGCATAGCCGATAGGCGCTGTATACGACTTGCTACATCCTTGCCAACCAGGGAGTTGGTAATAATCTAGTACCACTATAAAAATATATTTGACGAATTCCCAGAAATAACTACAAGTACATGTACTTCAACGTTGTAGCTATGTTGCATTGCATGGCGCACGGCTCAATATACGACTGTCGCTGTGACCCTCTGTCTCGAACTCGGAACTTAGCCTGAAGAAATTACCACGGCATCCATCGAAGATATTGTGGGCACGAATGCAGCAACAACTGGCATGACGAACTTAGAACTGGCATGAACAAAACTTATTCACACCAGTTGTGGCTGCATTCGTACCCACAGTGTCTTTGTTGAATAATTATTAGTGAATACTGTACAGTGCAAATGTGCGTGCTACTTCAAATAGAATTGCACGCAAAGCCGGAAAATAATAGATAGCGTTAGAATGCAAATGACATGTACAGCAGAATACAAAATTAATCCGTAAAAATAGAGAATAAGGAGCAGATAGCAACAGCATAAACAGGTAGCAGGGGGGCATACAAGGGCGGCACAAGATGACAATAGCGATACTAGGACCGGTCGAGAAGGGACGGAGACAGGGACGCGGGCAGCTACACACGTAGCTGTTGTGCAAGCTGAAACAGCGTCTTCAGGCCTGTCATGTAGCCACTGATCTGTGAGAAGTTACCGCCAGACACTAACACACTGTACTTGTCCAGTGCAGCGGCGTAGTTACGACTAGCAGCCACTGATAGCAAAGACATACACACATACACACACACATATCATAAGAAAGTTGTTAGGAAACATCACATGCAACTCTCGAAGTTATAAGTCCCTGGATTTCACACCGTGCATGAAACAAATTTCCGTAACGTGGGCAATGATTATATTGGCCTCCTAATTTTGCCTGGAGGCTTTCATAATTGACATAAAATTGTACATTCCAAATCTGACGTCATAAAAGTACAAATTTGAAACTACTTCGAAGTACTTCGAGTACAAATAGTGCAAACTTTGATGAGCTGTACTTCTCTTCAAAAATTGGATTTCTAGATGCCTTTTGTTCCTTTTACAAATGAAGGGTAGAAAGTGTTGCTAGGGAACTCTTCATGGCTCAAGATTTCCAAAAAGCCCAAGATAGCCAATCTCACCCAAGGGAAACTGAAGTTATCATCAAAATGCAATAAAATACCTTCCTATTACATGGAGCTTTTCCAAGGTTAGACCAACGGTCACTTTTCGGGATCGTGTGCGAGAATTCTTTTTGAATCGCTGGTGAACAGGTGAAGCCAAGTTACCGTTCAGTTTGTATGGGAATGGATGCATGGAGGCAAAAGTAGCCTAGGGTAAAGCTCAACTTGATGTTCGACATTCGTGCTGAGTCAGAACAGCTGCCAGGAAGCCCTTCCATGGCTTGGGTGAAGAAGACCAAGCTTCAGAATCGCTCCAAGCACTGGTGGAGACGAACCTGTCACTTTTTGTATACATTTTAATGCGTTTTCAGTTTTCACACGCAAGCTATTCACCACAATCTCGGAGTGAGCGCTGCTGGCGGGCACGGCGCCGAGTCCTTGAAAAGCTCTATTATGTACAACACACAACATACTACCATGATGGTGTAAAAAGTACAGGTAATGCTCTGGGAACTTACAGTCTGCAATTGTCGTTAAACCGGTCAAGGTTTCAGTCGGGATCATTGCAGCCTTCAGCGTTTCTTTCAAGACATCAAGACGCTTGCTTACATCATCAACTTTACGCTTGGCCAGTGCATTAGTTGCTACTTGCTGGCAACGTGCTAGGATCTCATCAAACGTCCTCACCATTGATGAGTAGTTGTCAGGATCATAGGATTCCGCCTGAGCAGAGACAGCAGCAAATCCAAACATGTGTACACATACATGTACTGCGTCATTTGAACCCGATGCGCTAATGCGGCTTTACTCCAAGCATGCGGATGTGGTGCCAACGTAAAAAGACAAACAGCAAAACCTGCACATAGCAACCGCTGTGATAAGGAGACCAGTCACCAAATGAGACCAGTCATTTTAGGACACAAGCCATGTTTCTGCATGCATGTGAACCTGCCTTGAAAGACCACCTGCATACAAGGACCGGTATTCCGTGCACCACGGGTGATCACTAATGACTAATGTACTTTTTAAAACTTTTTAGAACGAGGTCTGTCTCGTTGTCCAGGAAACGACCAATCAGCGACATTCCCGCCAAGGGCCTTATCAGAGTTTAAAGCCCGCTCAATCGTTTATTTACTACTCTTGATGACGCGTCGAGGGCCTTGGATTAGTTTAAAGCCCGCTGAATATACTCTAAACTGGTGCGTACAACTCCCTGTATGCATAATAGTACGGTGCAGATAATGAACTCTGCATAACGTGTACGGTGTACTACTAAAAGCTACGCAATTCAGAAGTGTGTACGGTTTTTGCCTCCCGTATTCTTTCACCTGTACGAATTTTCTTTGTCAACAGCTTGCGGAAACCTATAAAAACCGAAGATCAAAGTCATTAGAGTTATCGACAGGGGGCTCTCAAAGCCCCTAAATAGCTCCACAAGCTACATGTATGAATAAGAATGAAGCTCGCAATAAGAGCCCAGCATTTCATTTGCTTCCATTCTACTTTTAGTAGTCCTAAGTGGTGCTGAGTTACCATAACTTTCCAGAAGAAAATATTCTTTCATACCACACCAAGTCTCTCTGCACACAAACCACAAAACTACCAAATATAGTGGTACACACGCATAATGGAAGTGAGATAATGCATGTAACCTCGTTCTAAAATAGTTAGTGCATGGCAGGGAGGGTCTTATGGCTTGTTTGTGCCCTTCAGGGTAGCCCTCGGGCCTACGGCCCTCAGGCTAACCTGTCGGGCACTAACCTATAATTAAAAGTATTGAGTCAGACCTGACTATAGCACTCACTTTACGTGCCCAGTCCGGGTCATTCCACGGCTTGTCAGGTTTCCTTTCACTTGCTGTACACACGCACAAGCACACGCACAAGCACACGCACAAGCACACGCACAAGCACACGCACAAGCACAAACACACGCATACAGAGAGTAAATTTAATTTATCACCAACGATGTGAACATTACAAACCCATTCCCCCTAACAAACCCAATAGGTATACCAATGTACCTGCTAGCTGTAGTTCCACACATAACACTGTACATGTACATGTACAGTGTTATGTGTACAGTATTAACACCTGCCCTAACCAAACGCCCTTGGGTGCAGCGGAGACTGTCCTGATATGACAGGATTCCGCCAGATCCAGAGATGCAAGTGTGATCCACAGCACATCGGTGCTTGATAAATTGTCCGGTCAATACAGGAGTCTGGTACACACAGGTTTTACTGTACTTGCCAGTGTCAGTGCAATCAGGGAGTAGTCCTGATTTTTGATGCCCGTCTCGCAAAAATATTTTTTTGGGAAAAAGATGATCCGTTGAACAAATCTTTGATCTGGAGTATTTGTGGAAGACCTAATTCTGTAAAAAGGCCTATCAATCTGAACAAGAGTACATAAACCAGAGTGTGCAACTGTGCATATCAGATCTGAAACAGCGCAGTTCGTGCACTACGTCACCCTGATGAGGTCAGCCAATCCGTGACTTGCGTGCAGCTCAAATTTTCATGTTTCATAGCCCGGAAATCAGCCAAGTTTGCTTGATTTTAGACGTCCAGTTTCAGGAGTTCGGTGTTTTGTGTGACTGTGTACGCTGCGTACATCCACCGACAAGTAAAGTCACCAGGCTATCCGTATCAAAAAACCGAAATCAGGACAAACTCAGGGACCTGCACCACCGCGACTGGTTACGCAACTTTTCACCGTACCTGTGGCTTACCATGCCGTCAGAAATGACGTACTGCACGAATTACGCTCCCACAGGAACCATCCCGAGTTGCACACTCTGGTTTATGTACTCTTGATCTGAAGGAACAGCCTGTTTTGCTTTTGCAATACATCTGCGTCATTGTCCTATGGAAAGGCACCACCCTTGCAAAATTCGTCCCGATCTACGGCATGAAGAAAGAGAACGAAGTTGATTTCCTTGTAAATTACGTGTTCAGGGTTCTAGCCAGGTCAACATAGTAGGGGGGGGGGGGGGGCATGGGAAACAGTTATCCCATATCCCATTTTTCCACTTTCCAATACTGTCTTGCCGCGCCAAATGCAACGAATGGGGCGAATCCCCGACTTCGCCCCAGACAAATGTGCCTTTATGAACCATCTGACGTTAATAGTGACTTTCGAGTGCATTTTCGTTGAATTGCATGAAAAACATGAAAATCGGAAAATGAGCAAGGGGGCTGCACCCCCCCCCCCCCCCCTTTGGCTAGAACGCTGGTGTTCATGTATTGGCGTTGAAGAGCGAGTGCACCGGTTTCGAAGCTGATAACCAGTCTTGTCCGAGGACGTCATTAGAAAATAGAAGACAGGTGTATCTCTGGAGAGACTTTCATCGATGTAGATCCACGATCGAATAGACTATGATTGTGCCATTCTTGTCTTCATTCAGCAGTGCCATGACCATTGACCTGAATATTTCTGCTGCTTTCCTCGCCAAATTGATCAACATATCACTTGCCGCCGATGGAGATTCCGAAACGTCAGACTG